TTAATAGGATATATTGTAAAATATCAATTTTGCCCTTAGCCTCAAAATAATTTACCCATTCGGCCAGTACGGATTTCTTTGAACTTTCTTTCACTAATAACATCACAAAAAACTTATTACTACAAAAAGGAACATATCCCTCTTCTGCATGCTAGACAGGAGACACCATGTTTTCCTTTTGCCTTTCATTTTCTCATTCCTTTTTTATTTAAAAAAAGTTGGTTTATTAAATTATTCGAATAGAAACAAACTTAGAAATTTGACTAACAATTAAACAAACAAACACTAACAAATAAACAAAGATCGAAATGGACAAACTTTATTGATCCTTGCAACTTACATACAGAACCTCAAATTATAATACGGCTAGAGTCGTGGTTCGCCTAGTTTCTCCACCGAGTTTCATCACTTCCTAGGTAGCAAAAACAGCAACGAAAATATAAAGAATACGTAACCAGAACACATGAACGACAAATATAACGGATTACAAACACACGGATTGAGACATTAACGCCTTGACTATTTGGTTGGCCAAGTCGCTTGAGCAGACATGATAATGCCAACAATGACTCCAAACAATCCCAGTGCACTGCCAAATATCTCTATGACAAGAATTTTGACAAAAAGAGACGAGTTTTGTGCATCTGACAAAGCACAACTGCTTCCAATTATTCCAACACANAGGGAAAAAAAAGGAAAAAAAACAGGATCAGTGGATGAGAAGTACAGCTTTAAATGAAGATCATCACATAAAACTATCCAGAAGAAAACTGGAAAGTCAAAACTCACCCACAGACAAGGTTGGCAAACCCCACAATTATACCCGACGCGAATATGGCATAGCCAGCTCTGAGGGACTCCGGGTCGTACATTTTAGATGAAGGTACACTTTCCAGCTTCGTCTGGAGAATAATGGCTACAATGACTCCATATATGGCGACAGCCTCACAGAATATCACACTGACAAAATGGTTAGAGGATAAGTCATAATGAACCATGTGAACTGAAACTAATTCATTTCCGACTTAACTAATACCATCAACATGTTAATTTTGACAAGTAACAAAAAAAAGCAAGTATTTCAAAGATAATGTTTAAAGTGTTGTTAGGTTTCAATAGTTACCTGGCTGATAAACTATAAGGATCTGCAATTATCACACTTTCTCGTTTAGAGATATCCGTTTCAATGTGTCCACATAAACAACATACAAAAATGGATATGATGAAACTAGTAACTCTGTTTATATTGTTTAATAACGAACAAATACACAAGAGGATAGGACAACTCCAATCACTAGCACCATCCCAAACAAAAATAAAATTGTTAAGCTCCTCGTGAATAAAAATCCAGCTGTAAAATATGATTTAACCCAAGTTTTCTCTAAAGTTTGGCCCCTATCTTCAAAGATCCTTCTGTTTCTTTCTAACCAAAGTGATCAACATGCAGCATTCAGAATCCCTCCCCAGAGCAGTTGATCCGGGGAGCTAAAGAATAGGCCAGTATTACTGTGGAAAAAGTGATTCACTCTTTGTGGGGGTAGTCCACTACATGCTCTTGTGTTGCTTTGAACCATAAACTAACGCAGAAGGGCAATAATAGAGACATGATCAATTCTTGCAAATGATTCCAACATAGATGTTCGGACTTGGAGATAAAAGAAATGACAAAAAAACGTTTTCGGAGAACATTGCAAGTATGCATTTAACTCTTAACCAGTAGCTATGAAATCGACTACCAGAAACGATTAAAACTTCCCAGATCAGAAGATGTTCAGCTTTACCTACCCAGCAATCTAAGATTGTGCTGTGGGCCCACATTTTAATCAACCCTACTCGAGTAACTACTTNTGTGTTTCTGGAGAAGAACAGAAATGGTTGGACAAGTTAAAGCATGAGTTACATTGTCACATCTAGCTTATCATTTTTGTTTTAACTCCTATTCATTCTCCAACCGATCTACATGCTCTCTAAAATTGATAATTAGTTCTGCTCCTCATCAAGTGAGATGAACTTATTTCCTTGCTCTGCTCATCAATTTTGTCCATTAAAATGGAGGAAAATGGAAACTAAAAATGACGTTAAAATAAATCATAGTCAATATACAGAAGGGTCTCAGAAGTCATAGTTACAAACATGCAGCATATATTGAAATCCTACAATAAGGTTCTAAGTTGTAATGTTGAGCATATCATCCAACAAATGCATATTAAACATCAATCAGCATGACTTCTTCCTAGACAATTCAAGCTCGGACTGCCTATATATATAAACAGCAGACCTATACAAGACCCAACAAAAAAGCTGAAGAGAGTACGAGCAAGAAGATCATTCCATATATTACCCTCAAATCAGATTGCTGAATTATTGGTAAGATAATGTCAAAATTTACATGATAATTCCTGCAAAATCTAGCTCTCACTATGCATACGCAATGTGCCGGGCAAGCAATAATATTGTGAAAACACAAAACAAACAAGCAAGCAAACAATGACTATGCTATAATATATCACACATTGAACTCATCTTGACTGGTACAATGAAAAAATTACAGAAATAATTGGAAAATCTAAAGCAACGGATCTGATCATAAGACAAGTACCTGATTAGATTTTTCGAGGTAATGCGAGGAGCTTTGATGGCAGCACCGATTAAGCTACTCCCCGTTATATATATTCCCCTAACAATTTCCAAAAACTCAAAATAATCAGGCCAAAAAAAAGGAAAAAAACAGAGCACGAGTTCGAGAAAATACGATACCAGGCGGCGCCGAGGACGGAGACGCCGATGGATATGGCGATTCCGATGGCGGAGAAGGTGTACGGAGAGATCCGAACCAGCGCTTGTCCCCATGATCCGTATGACGTCACCATCGTGGTGTCCAAAAACTTGCTAAACTCCCAATTCTCTCTCTCTCTCTCTCTCTCTCTTGTTGAGATTGGAAGAGAGAACAGATTTTTTCTGACCGAATTAATTCGATCGTGGCAGTATGGTTTTTGGGCTGCCACAATTTGGGCTTCAGAGCTTAAGCGGTATAGTTAATTATATGGGTTTCGATTGGAAGGCTAATGTGTAGTGGCATGGGCCTACTTTATGGTTCTTATATAAAATTAAATCATTCACCTTCAAATTTTATTTTATGTTTATATTACAATGTTTTTATTTTAATTGCATATATATTAATTTTCACAGTTTAATTGTTAATTTATCTTTGGTTTATTTTTATCATTAATTTTAAATTGCATTATTTTTCTTATTTTTACTAGTTTATGAATGGTATATATATATAGTTAAAATTTGAAAGTCGTATTTTGCAAAAGTTTTCAAAACATGTAGTGATCATGTAAAATATAGGGTCCAACAAAGTTCGAAGTTCCCATAACGAAAACTTTTTTTTTTTTTGGTCAATTGGGAGGTATCTCCACATTCATTTTGGGATATCGACGCCGAGCGCCAGCCATCACCAAGCCCACCAAGGGAGATCGACCATTGGTCGGGGGAATGGGCCCATCAGGATCAAGCCTTCTCAAGGCCAGCTTTCCACCCCAGAGGGTGGGACTAATCCTCCTAGGAAGTGCAGAGAGCCCCAACCCCACACCCCACGATAGTTGGGTTCGATCCCACTACCTCTGGAATCACAGGCGCCTCATCCTCAGCAATGGGACTACATGCCCCAGGGGTGACGAAAACTTGTTGAAAGAACAATTTTTCTGTATCATAAAAGATAAATAAAAGTCGATCATATATTAATATAAAAATCAGCTTCAAGAAAAGTAAATAAACATATAATAGAAGAAAAAAAAACAAAAAAAAAAAAAAC